TTTTACTAGTTACCACTTTTTGATATGTTGCTGATATCCTGATAAACATTTTACTAGTTAACCACTTTTTGATATGTTGCTGATATCCTGATAAACATTTTACTAGTTAACCACTTTTTGATATGTTGCTGATATCCTGATAAACATTTTACTAGTTAACCACTTTTTGATATGTTGCTGATATCCTGATAAACATTTTACTAGTTAACCACTTTTTGATATCTTTCAAAAGAAAATGAGATATATAGGCTCAAAGTGGACGATCCGGGTGTCGTTCTATTAGAGGTTTTACGGTATTTTAAAATGAAAAATCAGCTTTTTTTGGATTTTTTGGGTCAAAAAAGCACTTTTTTAACTGAAACATTAGCTTTTTTTCAATTTTTTTAAGGATCAAAAACAGCTGAAAATTCCAAATTTTCAGCATTAAAAAAGCCAAATTTTCAGGCTTTTCGGCTCAAAAATTGCTCATTTTGAACCAAAAAAACCTTTCAAAAACCGATTTTTGACTCAACAACAGCTTGAAAGTCTTAATTTTCAGCATTAAAACACCCGAAAACACGAATTTTCAGTCAAAAAAATGTAATAAAAATCAAAAGTTGATCATTATCAGAAATCAGCGATATCCTGTGAATGATAGTAGTCCTCTTTGAGACGATTGACATGCGACGGAATGATACATGAAGTGTTCGAGACGAAGAGCGTCACCAGGTCGGACTGCAAACAGAGATAATTAGAGATCATTAATTAGTGGAAAAATGCGAAAATTTCCATTTTTGATGATTTTTGAGCGAGTTTTGAGCCATTTTCGAGCATTTTGAAGCTCATTTCAGCCCATTTTTTTTCGAAATCTCCCCAAAATCCGACCTGTAGAGCATCAAAAGCGGGATGAAGACAGTCGACATGTCCAGCCGAGTTGGCAGACATATCAAAAGGCAGTGTATTGGAACGGAAAGAGTGAAGAGACGCAGGATCAGTCATAAAGAACGGACAGAGCTTGTAGAACGGAGCCAGAACATAGACAGGTACACAGTGTCGCTTAGCCAGAAGAGCAATCTGATGTCCTCCGGCTGGAACCAAACAGGAGCCATCCGGGAAGTACGCAGCAGCCACGAGCACCACTTTCGACGTCTCCGGCATTCTGGAGGCCACTTCGAATAGCTCGATGGGGGTGACGAAGTCAGGAGCAGTCTCCAGATGCTCCTCCTCGTCGACGACATCGATCACACGATGTTTTCTGCCAGATTTGACGGCGTGGGTTAGGAAGGAGTGCATGGTTTTAGAGGTGGCCAGGGAGTGCACCATTACGATGTCATTGTTGAAGAGGAGTTCGGTGGATTGGGAGGCAATGCACTCACGCGACGACTCGATCTCTGTTGAGAGCTGCAAATAATTTTGGAATTTCTAGAGTTTAATTGACTAAAATTGGCTTAGAAACGGCTCAAAAAGGGATAAAAACATCCAAAATTGACTTGAAATCTCTTGAAATCTGAACTTGACATCTGTTGATATTGAATCGAAATTGACTGGAATTGGCCTACAAAACTGAACTGATCAAAAAGTGTCAATATTTTTGAAAATCCGCCAAAAAATGAGCTCTTTGGCCTGATTTCTGTCAATTTAAGAGTAATTTTTCAAAGCCGTAAATTTCAATTTTCAACTGTTTTTGACGGGTTTTTGGCGGTTTTTAGCCATTTAAATTGTCCGAAAATTCGGAAAAACCCTTCATTTTGTCGATTTTCAGCCGACTTTTGGACATTTTAAAGGATTTCAAGGCGTCAATTCGAACACTTTACCGAAAATCCTCTTGAAATCTGCCAAAAAATGAGCTCTTTGGCCTGATTTCTGTCAATTTAAGAGTAATTTTTCAAAGCCGTAAATTTCAATTTTCAACTGTTTTTGACGGGTTTTTGGCGGTTTTTAGCCATTTAAATTGTCCGAAAATTCGGAAAAACCCCTTCATTTTGTCGATTTTCAGCCGACTTTTGGACATTTTAAAGGATTTCAAGGCGTCAATTCGAACACTTTACCGAAAATCCTCTTGAAATCTGCCAAAAAATGAGCTCTTTGGCCTGATTTCTGTCAATTTAAGAGTAATTTTGAATGGTTTCCAGCCGATTAGAGCCACTTTTGAACTGTTTTTGTCAATTTTTCGCTTAATTTTGACGGGTTTTTTTGACGGCTTTTTAGCACTTTTTTGGGTTGATTTTTGTCATTTTCAGCCATTCTTCAGTTGAAAATCCGTAAAAATGAACCGAAATTGTCCAAAAATACGAAAACCCCTTATTTATTTATTTTTAGGCGAATTTCAGTCATTTTTTCATGATTTTCAGCCTAACCTCCTTGATAGAAGCCTGCAAGTCTTTGCGAATCTTCTTCATATCCGCATTCTTCAACCGCTCCATCGTCTCATCATCGTCCCGCCATAGCGAATACAGTGGTTCTGGCTCACGTCCTCCTCTCTTCTGAAGTACCTCGTCTCTCGCTAATTTCGAGATCATCAGTCCTATATTGATTATAATCAGTTCGGATCGCTCAGAAGCATGAAGACGTTTGCAATGGCTGGTCAGACTGCGTTGAAGATCGGCCATCGTGCGTGGATTCTCGCGAAAAATGATCTTTCGAATCAGATTCACAGTCATTATGGCGATGGAGGAGGAGGAGTCGCGAGGGAATCTGAAAAATTCAAATTGCTCCAATTCTGATAAAAAATGATTTGACGACTCAAAATGGTGTAAAAAACAATATAATTCGAAAATTTTCCGAAAAAATCGAAATTTGAAAAAAAAATGTTTTGAAAAATTTTGAAAAAAAATGAAAATTCTCAAATTCCTCCAATTCTGCTAAAAATTGATTTTACGACTTGAAATGGCGCACTAAACAATATTATTTAAAAAATTTCAGAAAAATCAAAAATGGAAAAAACATTTTTTTTTGAAAATTAGGAAAAAACATTCATTTTTCAAAATTTTTTTGTTGATTTTTAGCTAATTTCAGCGGAATTTGCTCATTTTCTGCAATTTTTTGCCTATTTTTAGTAGTTTCAGACCGTTTTCAACCAGGAAAATGTTGATTTTCAATTTGTATTTAGCCGGAAATTCCTGGAACTCACTTTCTCCGAAGCGTAAAAATGAACTCTCGCTTCAAATCCTCAATATCCGTGTTGGAATCCATCTGAAAACATCAAAAATTTAGAAAAAAAATCAAAAAATTCCGAAAAATAGAAAAATCCCGATTTCGCAACTAAAAGTTGACTTTTTCGAGGGAATTTAGGTTTATTAGATTTTTTGAAAACTCGACTTTTGATATTTTACCAATTTTCCCCACAAAAATCAATAAAAAACCAAGAAATCGGTGCAAAATCAATCAAACTTAGGCGAAAAAATAAAAATAAAAAGCAATAATTGCAAGCGCGCTCTACCGCACATTTCTCTGCGCCTCTTCGAATGACACACTCTCTCGCTTTCTCTTCAACAATTTTTGAATAAAATTCTGACTTTTCAGCTCACAATTCACAGATTTTCCCAGTTTTTTTGCTGAAAATGAAGCCAAAACGAGAACTAGCAGATACAGAATTGTCGGAAGGTAAGAATTTTCAAAATAATTCTGAAAAATTGATGAGAAAATTGAAATTGTTCAGGATCCTCGGAAAAGAGATTTTGTGAGCCTGGAACGAGTGATATGATGGGGCAAAGACCTCAAAAAGCGATTGGTAAGGTTTTAAATTTGAAAAATTTGAATTTAGCGCCAAAAATTAAATTTCAGAACTTCTGGAATTCGAATTACAGCAAGCACAGCTGAATGTACAGGAAATTGGACGAATTATCGTTGATGGAATGTTGGAAAAATCGATAAACGATGAGATTTTGAAGGAATTAATCAAAAAAGTGTCGAAAAACGTTCCAACTATGGCAAATATCAATTTATGGAATCTGTCGGATGACTTGAGTAAAGGAGTCATTGATAGTCGACTTGTCGTCGTTGGAAACGCGTTTTTGGTGTGGAATTTGGATTTTTCGGGGAATTTTAGTCTAGAAATGGGGTTTTAGTCTAGAAAAAAAAATATTTTTTTGGAATTTTCGTTTTTTTTTTGAATTTTTGAAAAAAATTTAAAAAAACATAGTGGAAAGTCTCAAAATCACTTTTTAAATAGAAAATTAGGACTTTTCAGCGAAAATTGGGCTAGAGAAAGGGGTTTTTAGTCGAAAATTGAGAAAAAAATTTTTTTTGGAAATTTCAGATTTTTCGAAAATTTTTGAATTCGAATTTTGAATTTTTCAAAATTTTATTTCAGATTTTTTGAAAAAATTTCGAAGTTTTAAATTGTAAGAATTTTCGAATTTTTCAGTTTTTTTAGTTTAAAATTACAAATTTTTTGAAAAAATTCAAAATTTAAAATTTTTCGAATTTTCAGATTTTTCATTTTTTTTTGTTGAAAATTTCAGAATTTTTTTGAAAAAATTCAAAATTTTAAATTTTTCGAATTTTTAGATTTTTTTTGCTGAAAATTTCAAAATTCAAAAGTTTTAAAATTTTGAATTTTCGAAAAAAAAATTTTTCAAATTTTTCAGAAAAATGTCAGATTTTTCGTATTTTTCAGATTTTTTTTGTTGAAATTTCCAAATTTTTAAAAAATTATCAAAATTTTAATATTTACGGATTTTCTAAATTTTTCAGATTTTTTTGCTTAAAATTTTTGAATTTCGAAATATTTAGAGTTTTTTTTTAAATTTCGAGAAATTCCAAAAATTGAAATTTGAATTTTTTGGAATTTTTGAAATTTTTTCGGATTTTTCAGAAAAATTTAAGGTTTTTGGAATTTTGAAAATTTCCTATTTTCAGTGGAATCTGCTAAAATCCTCCATGTCGACTCTTCGTGATAAGTTCGACCACTATCACTTCAAAATGACCACAATGGCTGGTGCAGTGCAGGCAACCTCCTCCTCCGCCTCCTCGAATTCCCCAAATTTGACACAATTCGAATTTCTAACAAATCGATGTCAACCGGGAGTCCATCGTGTGGCTGATGATGGCATTTTTGTTGGTATCGATCTGCTGGATGTTTATAAATCTTGCGTTTTTCGGAAAACTGGAGATTTGGGAAACAAATCCAAGCAGTTTATAAAGAATTATCTGGCACATGTGAGTCTTTTTTTTGGGCAAGAAAGAGCGATCTATGGCGGTTTGTAACCCGAAAAAAATGGAATTTCTGGGGTCATTTTGACCTAGAAATCAGCAATTTTCAGTGGGTTTTCAATTCTAAAAATCGGAAAAATTTTCCGGAAAAATTCATATTTTTTACATTAAAAATACTCTATTTTTTGGGATTTTCCGGTCAGGAAAAGAAGGCAAAATCGGATTTTTGGGCCAAAACAGCTTTTTTTAGAAAATTTTGACTCGAAAAATCGAAATTTTGGGACGTTTCTGACCCAAAAATCATCGATAGGCGACGATTTTCTTTTTTTTTTTTGGCAAGAAAGCGCGATTTTTTGATTTTTTTGAACAAGAAAGCGCGATCTATGGCGGTTTGTAACCCGAAAAAATGGAATTTCTGGAGTCATTTTCACCTAAAAATCAGCGATTTTCAGTGGATTTTCAAGTCTAAAAATTGAAAATTCAGATTTTTTAACCTGTAATGTTGTGAAATGGCTAATTTTAGGGCCGAAAATCGTCTACATTGACTAGGTTTTGGACCCAAAAATCCTGGAAAATTGTCCATTTTCTGGCTCAAAAATCGAAAAAAAGGCACTTTTGACCGAAAAAATTCCAGAAAATGGCTTTATTTAGACCTTTAAGCACCGGAAAATCTGATTTTTAGCCGATTCATTGACCTAAAAATCCCCAATTTTTTATCTAAAAATTATGATTCTCAGCCAAATTCATCCAAAAAGTCTTATTTTTAACCTATTTTCAGTCATTTTCAGCCAAATTTCGCCGCGCCAAAATATTGATTTTCCAGGCGACGCGACCGAAGTGTGCCATCTGGCACTACAGTCTCCGCCAATCCGGCGCATCGCACAAAAAATGGCTTCAGAATATTCCCGAACACGTGCTGGATTCGTTGATTCGTAAGGATGTTTTTGGATTTTCAGCAATTTTTCAAAAAAAAAAAAAATCTTAAAATTTTCGATTTTCAGATTTCCAACTATCACTAGCCGGATTGGGAATGGTCGAGTTGGAGGCGGATAGAGATGTGGATCGAGGAGGGTAAGGGCTGGAAATGACTGAAAATCTAGGTCATGACCCGAATTTTCCAGCTTCCGCAGCGTCTGGGCCACTTTTCAACATCCGAAAACCATAATTTTCAAGCGAGCTACGCCCCATTTAGTCTGGTGGCGTAGAAATCCAAATTTTGGGAAAACTAGGTCATGGTGTTCATGGTTCGAAAGAGCATGCTTTGAGAAGTCCATATTAGTTTTTAGATTTGGAAAATGTCGATTTTGAAGCGAGTTACGCCCCCATTTAGTTCGGTGGCCTAGAAATCCAAAACTAGGCCACATTGTCCCAAAAATTGAAATGGCCATAACTCGCTTCGAAATCGATATTTTGCAAATCTGAAAACGGATATGGACTTCTCAAAGCATGCTCTTTCGAACAGTGTGCACCATGGCCGAACTTTTTGAAAAGTGGATTTCTAGGCCACCAGACTAGAAAGGGCGTAGCTCGCTTGAAAATTATGGTTTCTGAATTTTGAAAAGTGGCCCAGACGCCCTAATTTTTCTAGGTCATGACCTAATATTTTTTTTCTAGGTCATGACGTGATTTCCTGTCAAAAATCGGGTTTTCCAGCTAGAAGTACAGTAACCCTCCTAAAGATAAGTAATCCCTATTTTTGCAGATTCTACATGTCACTTGGTGATACGGAGGATGCTCGTGAGACGACACTGACCAGTATGAAAATGATCAGAGAGCAATTGGTTACCAAATTTCGACAGAATGTTACGGATGCGTTGTAAGTGCTGGAAATTGCGATTTTTTGAAGTTTTTATGCCTAAAAATGTCAATTTTTGGACCTTTTTCTATGCGAAAAAAGTCATTTTTAATCCCGAAAATTGGGATTTTCGAGTTTCTTACCCCAGAAATCGGAATTTCTGGTCCTTTTTTATGCAAAAAGTTGTCTTTTTTGAGATTTTTAACCCTAAAAATATGAAAGTTTTGACCATTTTCATGCGAAACATGTCATTTTGGACCCAGAAATTGGCAATTTTCACTTTTTTTTCGACTGAAATGTTGACTAAAGTACAGTAATCCCTCAGAAATGAACTTAAAATCAACGGTATTTGAACATTTCTGTGTTAAAAAATGTCATTTTTTGTGTTTTTTTAGCCTAAAATCTGTATTTTTAAACCGTTTTCATGCGTAAAATGTCATTTTTTGTAGGTTTTGCACCCAGAAAATGGACCATTTTGACAGATTTTGACCTCTAAAATGGTTCAAAATACAGTAAACCCCTTGTAAAAATGAGCAATCATGAATTTTTTTTTCAGAAACGAAGCACGAGAAATGCCATTCAACACGATCACACGAGAGCTCATGGCACCGCCGGTAGGGACTTTTTGAAACCAAAAAAATCTGAAATTCTGAAAAAAAAACGACACTTTTGACCCAAAAACCGCCATAAAACGATGATTTTGAGCCTGAAAATCGTAATTTCAGGACACTTTCGACTTAAAAATCGCCATAAAACGATGATTTTCGAGCGGAAAAAGGCTTTTTGGACCCGAAAAATCGGTTAAAATGGGTGTTTAAAACGTGATTTGTGACCCAATAATCATATAAATGGCTTGTTTTTGACCTAAAAATTTATCGAAAATCGTCTATTTTGACGCGAAAATCATGAAAAATGGCCCATTTTGGACCTAAAACCCCCTGAAAATGGCTCATTTGGAACTAAAAACACGCTCAAAATCAAGCAATTTGCAGCCGAAAAATTGAAAATGGCTTGTTTTGAACGCGGCAAAACTTGCAAATCTCGTTTTTAGCTTCAAAAATGGAATGGTCTGATTTGGACCCTAAAACTCCTGAAAATCTCATTTTTAATCAATTTTTCTCCAAAAATTGTGTACTTCCGACCCAAAAAATCCTCTAAAATGGCTCATTTTGGATCAAAAATCCTAAGAATCGACCATTTTGGACCCAAAAAACCTATGAAATTGCGTATTTTAGACCTAAAACATCCTCTAAAATGGCTTCTTTTTCTGGACTCAAAAATCCTAAAAATGCCTTTTTTCTGAACCAAAAATCGCCTAAAATCGAACATTTCAAACCACAAAAAATCCCAAAAAGTGACCTATTTTGGACCTAAAAATTCTAGAAATGGCTTATTTTTGAACCTAAAACATCTGGAAAATTGATATTCTTGACCCCAAATTTGATTTGAAAAATCTAGATTTTTAGCCCAAATCATACTTGTAACGGGCCACTGGAATCAAAACACTGTGAAAAATGTATTATTTATTAGAAAGAAACGGGGAACAAAGTAAAAATCAATAAAGACACAGTGAAACTTAATAGAACAAGCAATTTAACGCTGAAAAGTTTCAAATCGACATATTTGCCGCCGCCTCGTTTTTCGTCTGCGTCTCGTGTTATGCAATTGCGCTCCGCTGGCTTGCAGTCCGGAAATGAAACGGGGGAGAGCGTGTACTGTATAGAAAGAGCGCAAAATTTGAAAGAAAATTACTGTTTCAAAAATACATTTTCATGTTAGTCTGAAATTTTTTTAGTAATCAGTGCACTGAATTTCTGAATTTCTGGATTTC